GCTGCATCAAATGCGGCAAAAACCACAAGATCGACAACTGCGACAGCATCGAGGAAGCCACTCCCACATGCGCCAACTGCGGTGCCACCCACAAGGCCACGAGTAAGGCCTGTCCGAAGCGGGCCGAATACGCCGAGATCCGGAAGAAGGCCTCGTCCAACAGCCAGCCCGGTCGCAAGAAGGTTCCTGAAAACAACGCGCAGAACTTTCCTCCGTTATCACCGGTCCAATCACGGCCAATTCCAGTGTTGCCGCCGCTCCCGCTCAACCAACAGTTGGCTGCCGCTGCAGCACCCGGTCAAGCCTCCGGGCCATCGACGGATCCCCCTGCTCCGGGATTGGCCGGTACAACCGGTGAAGCTACAGACGATTCTCCGCTGTCAACGGATGAGATCGTCACACTGTTGGCCCAGGCCATCATCATCAAGCGCACCTGCGCAACAAGAACACAACAGCTCCAAGCTATCATCTCCTTCGTCGCTAATTATGGACCGTGAACCCATAAAGATCGCCAACTGGAACGCTCGCTCCGTAGGGGCGAAAAACATTGAGCTTGCAGACTTCCTCCGCAAGCACGACATCGACGTGGGCCTTCTCACCGAGACCCACCTCAAGACCGGTGACAGCTTCTGGCTGCCCGACCACAGCATTGTCCGGCTTGATCGCACCAGCTCCAGGGGGGGCGGTGTCGCGGTCATCATCAAGAAAGGCATCAAGTACTGCACCCTACCCCACTACCGCACTTCCATCATCGAGGCCGTCGGCGTTGAGGTGGAAACATCGACCGGAAACGTCCGGTTCATCGTTGTCTACTGCCCCCGGCAATGTACCGTTAGCAATGGTACAGCACAGCAGTTCAAGAACGACCTTGCCATCATAACCCACACCAATGCCCGCTTTGTAATCGGAGGGGACCTGAACGCCCGGCACGAGGCCTGGCGGAACTACCAGCAGAACCAGAACGGCCGCCTGCTATTTGACCATTCCCAGCATGGTCTCTATTTCGTCTGGTTTCCGGACGAACCAACCTTCACATCACCGACGGGCAACCCATCGACGCTGGACCTGTTCTTGGCAAACACCAGATTAGCCAAGCCGGTTGCCGTCAACGACCTGAGTTCGGACCACCAACCGGTGCTGACCGAGCTGGGCTACAACGTGGCCCCTGCACCGTGCCAGCGGAAGGACTACCATCGAGTCAACTGGGTCCAGTTTCGACGCGTGGTCGACCGCCACATTGACGACAACCCACCGCTCGACACAGTGGATGACATCGACCGGGCCCTGGAGGGTCTCCATCAAGCCATATCCGTGGCTGACGAAGAGTGCGTTCGACGAGTTCCTGTGAGGGGTAAGTTTCAAGCAATTGATTCCCACACCAAACTCTTGATTCGGCTCAGAAATGTTCGTAGACGCCAGTTTCAGCGGACTGGGGATCTGCAGCGTAAATACGAAATGGTCGATCTGAATCGGCAGATCGCTTCCAGAATGGTCTCAATCCGGAACGAGAGTTTCGGGCGGCTCGTTCAGAACCTGGACGACCGTTCCAGACCATTCTGGAAGGTTGCCAAGGTGCTGAAGTCTCACCCCAAGCCCATTCCACCACTTAGAGTCAATGACGAACGGCTTATCACCAACGAAGAGAAGGCCAATGCAATTGGGGAGCACATTGCCCAGTCGCATTTGCTTGGCTCTACAATCCCAAGTCCACTCGAGAACCAGGTTGTGCAGTGCGTCCAGACGTTAGATGCCTCCCCTTGTGCCGTCCCTCCAGAAGAACGGATTACAGAGGAACAAATTTGCTCAGCGCTGAAACACAGTACGAACATGAAGGCTCCCGGGTTTGACGGAATATTCAACCTAGAGTTGAAAAATCTCAGCGCGAGGGTGCACTCGCTGCTGGCTGCCATCCTCAACAGATGCTTGGAGCTGCACTACTTTCCAAGCATCTGGAAGGTGGCAAAAATCATCCCGATCCGCAAACCTGGGAAAGACCCTTCACTACCGTCAAGCTACAGACCGATTAGCCTGCTCTCAGCGCTGAGCAAGCTGTTCGAAAAATTGATCCTCAGTCGACTAAACAAGTTTGTGGAGGAACATGACATTCTTCTTCCGGAACAGTTCGGGTTCCGTAAGGGGCATTCCACCAATCATCAGCTAGTGCGGGTGATGAATAACATCCGGAGTAACAAAGCTGTATCCAAGTCCACAGCCATGGCCTTGTTAGACGTCGAAAAGGCGTTTGACAATGTCTGGCACGACGGACTTATATACAAGCTTTGTAACTCCAACTTTCCACCATACCTTGTGAAAATCACCCGTAACTATCTCCAGCAAAGGTCGTTCAGGGTGTCGTTGAATAGTTCCCTTTCGGGACAATTTCCGATCCCAGCAGGTGTTCCGCAAGGGAGTCTGCTGGGACCACTGCTTTACAGCATCTACACGTCGGACATCCCTCCTCTAGGAGACGGTTGCGTGTTCTTTCTGTTTGCAGATGACACCGCGATAGCCGTCAAGGGTAGGATGCCTCGTGAAATTACGAACAAGCTCCAACGATGCCTTGACACCTTTACTGATTATGCCACCACGTGGAAAATCAAAATCAACGCCTCGAAAACCCAAGCGATCATGTTCCTTCACAGACAATCATTAAAACTTAAACCGTCTCCCTCCTGTACCGTAATAATGGATGGTACAAGGGTCGAGTGGTCCACTGATGTTACTTATCTCGGGATGTTGTTCGATGAGAAGCTCCTGTTCCGCTCGCACATAGAGAAAACCCTAGTTAAGTGCTCCGCCTTGGTTAGGTGTTTGTATCCGCTCATTTGCCGCAGATCCCGCCTCTCAAGGCAAAACAAACTGGCTGTTTACAAACAGATCATAGCCCCCGCGATCTTCTATGCCGCCCCGGTGTGGGAATCGTGCGCTCAGACCCACAGGAACAAAATCCAGGTTGCACAGAATAGAGTGTTGAGGATGATCCTAGATCGTCCATTCGACACAAGAATAGCAGACCTCCATCAAGAGGCAGAAATTCCCAAAGTAGATTCCAAAATTGATGATATGACAACTAAATTTATTCAAAAATGCAATCTTTCTGAACATGCTTTAATAAGCAATTTGTACATAGTAGGTTAAGTGTATATAGTAGAGTAGGTTAGTTTTAAGCTGTAAATAGTAGTATTAAGTAGTTTCTCTTCAAATTCTAAAAACAAAACAAACCAATCCCACCAAGGTGGTCGACCGTGTACTAAGTCTAGGACTAATTCTGTAAAACAAATTTTGAATTTTGCCCATACCTAAAGATGAAGAAAGCAATTAAATCACTTAGTAAAAATTTATATGGTAATCGTCCAAGTTAAACTAAAATAAAGATCATTTAAACTAACTAAACTAAAACCCTCTCAGAGAAGAACTTTTGTCCGGTGATTGGTGAGGCAAAAGATCGCTTTTAAAACTCTTCTTCTTCTTCTTCTGATTCGCGTCGGACTCGTCGTAATTCCCTGATGAGGAGATAAACGCTATGCTGGCATTTTCTTTGGACTCATCGTCAGACCTATAGAGGGTGGCGTCCTCAAGAGCGCCAACAACAACATCACGGTGAAGCATACTTGGCATGCACAGTTGTACACACCAACTGCTCATTTGTAAATAGCTTTTCACTCAGTTGTTGAACTTTGTTTTTTTTTTTCTTTTAATTAATTTTTAGATAAGGATCATAGTTTACTATAGGTATGCAAAGAGTAGGTAAATCTTAACATTTGAGTCAACACTAATGAATTTTTACACTTAAAGTCCGAGATGTGCAGCGAGCATTTTTCATTTCATTTTTACAATGCAAAAACAAATACAGTTTATTACTAGAATTAAACTCTACTTGTTTACATATCTATAACAAGCTTAAACTCTATTCTATCTACAGCTTCAAAAAGAACTATGTTTCGTCAACTGTGTGCAAAGCCATTAGCAAATGAGCAGTTCGTGACCAAAACTTTGTATGCCAAGCATGCGGTAAAGTCAGGCATCATAAACTATCCAGAAGTTTCATACTAATTTTACCTATATTTTAACTTATATTCCCGGTGGTGTAATGGTAAGCGTGATTACCTCTCACCCCAGCAGGCCTGGGTTCAATCCCAGTCGGCGCCGCCGGGATGTTCTGAGGCATAACATCTCTGATCACGCCTTCCTTCGGATGGGAAGTAAAGCCGTTGGTCCCCGGCTCATGAGTTGATGGGTCGATAGGTAGGGTCCAGGTGTGGGAGCTGCCTTCCTGGCACGTCGGTAGCATTGGTGCTCAGCACGGCAAACAAGATCGACGGAAAAACATACCAAAGGGAAAAAAAACTTATATTCGAATTAACCATCTTAAATTCCTGCTATCTATGAATCGACACAAACTCTTCCCTTATGGCAGCTAATTCACTAATGTGGAGATGGGGTCTTGCCGATACGTTACCCTATCGGTGATGTCACTGTGGCTCGCCCTGTTTCACATACGTGGATTACACAGAACTTATTTAACCTGCTAGTAAAGATGCTGAGATGCCACCTCCTGCACAGCAAAAAATTAATTTTAATATTACATACAAGAGGATGCACTTCAATCATGTCAAAAATCTCATGTAATTTTTATGGCCACACAAATAAACAAATGCAGTAAAAGCAACGTAATGTCAGCACATGCACTGTATTAATGATAATTTTGCCCTTTTGGGCAAGTAATATTACACCATATTTTCGACACGATTGAAGTGCATCCACTTTTATGTGACATTATTTATTTATTAATTAATTTTTTGCTGTGTGTCTACATGTATAGCATGTACGGTGCCTAAAAGCATCGGAGGCCTGGCCCTTGACCCCCTTCTATGCTACACAATCTAAATCACAATGAATTGCCAATTAAATTCAGTACCAATTTAAAATCGCCTAATATTAGATCACACGGCAAAAACAATCCCGATAACAATAGACCAACTCTATTCCCTTAATTACAGTACCCCCAGCGGCAACGCCCGAAACCCCGGAGGACATCGAGGATAAGAACCTATCCTGGTTGTTCAACTTTAAGTTAGAAGACTTGCCACATCTGTCGCCGGAAGCCAAGCGAAAACAAGCCCCGAAAAATGTTGGTCCGACTGGTGGTGGCACAGTAGGCTGCTCCGTACATGCCGCGATAAGCCAACTGGAATCTGAACCAGGGCTAGATCAAACGACGGCCATCGAGGAAGACGATATGAATGTAGCGGAGAATGTTACGATCGAAAATAGCACCGCTGCCGCTGCTGCTAAAGTGTAAGTAGCGTGATGTTGAGGTGATCTTTGAGAAATTGAGTTACTAAGGTCAATTTGTTGTCGTTCTCGTTTGTACTTTCAGGACAAAGAAACCGCCGTTCACCTATACCGAGCTTATCGAATATGCCTTGGAGGACAAGGGGGAGCTCACAGTTTCCGGAATCTACCAGTGGATCTCGTAAGTAGATTTTTATCCATTTAGGTCAATTCCGTTAGTTCACCACATGAATGCAATAGCAATGCGGATTACTCAAGGCCTCCATCGGCCAAAGACTTTCGACATTGGACGCCTTGTTAGGGAGGCACATGTTGCTATTTGTTTACACGTTTCAAGTGTTATCCTTTTTTCCACATCGAATATGAAAAAAAAACCTTCTCATCATCGCAACTCAGCAACAACAAAAGGCCAATCAACAACCGAGCGTCGCGATTCTGGGCGATGCTTTAAATAGGAAGCCACTGCAAATATTTACAAACAATAAACAAAGTGCTGCTCAGCCGCCGTTCCGGGAGACCAGAATCAGCTGATATTCGGTGCTCCACACCCGTTCTGTTCTGCTGATTATAATTGAAGGAGCTGGTAATCTGTTTGGCGTTTGTAAACAAAAATCCTGTCATGGTGTGGTATGGCGTGCGAAAAAAATACGCGTAACTTGCGGTATAGGAATGCCCTGTCTGCCTCTCGACCCTCGTCGTTTCGAATTACAACCTGAGGGTACTTGGGAAATCCCCGGTGGTAGGAAGCGAACCAGATTGCATATCTAATTGTTGGTAATGCTTTTTTTTATATATTCCGGTTGTTGTTGTGCCATAATATGTTGTAGTTGTTGTTAGCGACAGTGAACTTCTGTGAACAACAAAGTCGGAAAAGGGACCTACGGGCAGACGAAGAGTTAAATATATGTTTTCCGGATTTGGAGCCACGCCGTGTTTTGCTCCTAGGAGACGGCCTTGGCCAAAGTCAAGGAAAAATCGGTATCCTCGCCGTCGGGCATATCTGGGTAAATGGGTAAATGAACCGGTTGGAAGGTTGATTGATTGTGGTTCGATTGGCGTGAAATGTAAACAAATTTCTGCACGCAAGCTGGCTTTCGCTTGATTTGGATTGTTGGAGGCATGCTAATTAGTTGTATGTTTATTCGATTTTGAAAGAATTTCATCAGATAAAAACATCTGCATCACTTTAATGAACCTAATTTATGCCGCCATTTTATGAATATCGACAGTTTCACCTCCCCTTTATCGTGTCACAAAAGTTGTATTGATCCCCGTTAGACATTATCACCGCTCTATCATTTTTACGACCGCAACCTTCAATAAAAACGGCATACCATTTAGCCTCGTTTCGTGTCACATTTTCTGCCCTCTACGCTCCGTTGTCATTGGCCATATCCACCTAGAGCATGAACGGGGACAAAGAGACGAAGTTACATCCCCCTAAACCGCACGCTTATCATTTTCATACGTCCCCATTTTCACGTCGCCTCGTACTATAGGTAGGTCCACTGCGAACGATTTGTGCGCATGTCCACATCTCCCTCCTCCTGGCGGCACCCAGAGAAAGATCGGGAATCGGGGCCGATTCGCCATCTTTGCTGTCCACCATTGCTCGATTCGGCTGTGGATGATGGGTGGTAGCTTGGGATGGGTTGATTCGACCGAGTCCAATAGCTTGTGGAAAATTTTCCAAGGATGGAATGGAATGGGAAACAGTATGCAGTTTTATGAGGTTGATTCGTATTTTTGAAGCGAACTTAGACTTGGCGTCTTTTGAGGGTGACTTTCGGAATAAAATTTGTGATTTATTGTCCCTGGTTGATTTACGCGCGTGGTTGTGAAAATCAAACGATAGTTTTGAAATGACCAGCGATGTACGTTCAGCACATTGTTTAGTCTACAGATATATTTTGGAATTCTAATCTACGGTCAAGTGTACTCAACTCGATATTGATGGAACTTTAAAATTAGAGAGGAAATCGAGTAATGATTTTTAGATAAATGGTAAAAGTCGCCTGTATTTTCATCGTGTAAGAGAAAGTATGTATTGGATTAAAAATCAAACAATCCTATCAATCAATTCAAAATTTTACGGTTAGAAATAACTAATTTTACTCATGATGAGATTCATCTTTGACATTAAGGATGAGACGTATACAAACATGTCATGTAAAGTTAAGTGCTCCGAGAATGAAAAGTTCGTTACTAGCGTCAGCGTTAGCGTTAGCGTTGTTACGGTATAGTTCGTAGATTGGATACTAGTGACACTCACGTCTCTTTGAAAACAAGAATACACAGCATGGCTGTCGCTATTCCCGGCCACGCCCATCTTTAACGAAACTAGGGATAGGGAAGGAAATGTTGTTGAAGTACTTACTTAACGAGAAGCCACCGACTTAGCTACACCCTCATAATTGCTACGGAGTTGGTTGGTTGGTTGGTTGTCTTTATTAAGGAGATTTTCAGCCAGACGCTGGTTCATCTCCGGCAATGCTACGGAGTTGGATAATTGGGTAAGGTAAGGGTTCGCCTCAAGCTGGTGATACGACCAAAAGCATAAGTTGTTTATGTGTTGCTCATTTAACACTCCGAACACGATGCCTCCGGTATAATGTGTAACGGAAAATCGACAATGTTTGAAAAATCACTGCTCAGCGATAGATTTCAAACCTACTAATACCATAGAGGTAACTCTAAGACTAGAAGGTCCCGAAATGACGTGCTCAACTTTTTGGCTCAGCTCTGGTACTCTCTTAGGTCCGAGAATCGATTCACCCCTCGAAAATCCACTAACCCCTCATTTTATCTGTCAAACTTTCATAGCGAATCAACACAAACATTGTGTAGTAGTAGAATTTCGACTAGCATGGGGTACGATGATCGTTTGCTTGGGACCAATAGGCTAGTCAAGTAGTGAGCCAATTTAAAATCGTTAGTTTCGTATTGATTGTTGCTAATACCGAATAAATTTTTAAAATTTGTAGTTTCAAGTGAAGTGATTTGAAATTCTTGAACAAATGGCTGAGCAATGATATTTAAAACATAGCAAGTTTGGCGTTACACATTTTACACCGAAGACATCGTGTTTGGAGTGTTAATATCCCGACAGCCGACCTACGAAAGAATATATTCATTTATTTAGTGTTTGTGCATTTTAAGGCGAGGGGAGGGACAGTGAAAAATTTAGAGCCATCTAGAGGTACTCTCTTGCTGTCTGAGCGAATCTTGCTCTCATTGCGAGTGGATTTTTGTAACTGGTCTTATTTAATTCTTGACAACAATTTTAGACTAACATTTGAAAAGGGGTGAATTCCAAAATCACCATATCGAGAAAATCACTTCCGAATACCTAAATTCCTAAATTACCTAATCGTATTTCACTACTTTCCATTTTCTGGATGATTTTATAAGCTTGACATACTATATAGTTAAAAGTGTAATCTATTATAATGCATCAGAATACTAAAATCCGAATCAAACATCGGGATACAGAATAACGTTTCCTCATCATCGGAGTCACACTCAGGTTGCAGCTCCAAGCAAGCCGGAAAGCGGACAGTATGTTTTTATTATAAAACAAACCAAAAAATGGATTGTAAATAATCTCTGCGTTTTTAATCATTTTAATTCCTATCTTGCGTAACATTTTAAAAGGGCATACAACCGAAATATGAACAAACTAGAAATAAGAAAATTTAGGTTGATTTGTTAGCATTTCTATAGTTCAGTACACAACATCCAAATAATACATGGTTGGCCGTTTTAGCGTGCGGGCCAATAAATGATTCGAAAAATTGAAAATCGAGTTATTTATAATGACTTTACCCGGTTATGTGGAACATTCCTACACGATTGGTAGCTACCAAGCGGAGCTATAGAATGGTATCAAAACCGGATATGTTTTCATTTTGATTGTAGGCTCTTTTCAAATGTTACGCGAGATATGCCTTGTTCTTTATTTTTTCCGATGCAAAAAGAGCAAATCAGAGTTACTCTGAGTAACTCCCAGCTAAAGATAGACTCGCATTAAAGCCGTCCTCCCCCTTGTTTTAAGGTTCATGGTTTATCGAGAGCTAAGGAATAGGATTAGCTTTATGCTCTCGAAACCAGGCGATGCCAATTTGTTTTGTTGTGGAAAAGCTTGGAAAAAACCCATGATTTTCTGCTCAGTAAGCAAAAACGATCCCTCGGGGCCATCGAGCATCTCAAACCCACAACGCTCCACGACAAAATACGATTAAGTTTTCGCTTGGTATGTAATGAACGACAGAGATATGCGATAATTCATATCCAGAACAACATGTGAAAAGGGCATACAAGCTTTTTGTAAACAAACCCTTGTAGGCCCTTTTCTCACCAACCGAGGGTCGCCCACCCAAACCAGTAATATCATCGGGAAGGGGAAAGTGTCCCCTACACGGTGATGTTAAAGGTTTGCGTTGGTGTTATTTGGGTGGCGAGAAAAAGGCATAAGAAGGTTTGTTTACAAAAAGCTTGTATGCCCTTTTCACATGTTGTTCTGGATATAGTTTCTGCGGTTAATGGTTAATTTTAAATATGTGAATTGTGCTGCCAACGACGATGATAAGATTTTTTCGCAAATTTTCTCACACACACGTCTCTTACCGATGATATGTGCTTACCTCTCAGTATGTTCAAACTTTCCTATAGACGACAACAGCAAATTTCTACGTTAAATGAGTATTTCTTGCAAAATCACAAAAATATTAACAGGGGTAGTCAAAATCAAAATTAGTTGTGTTTTGGTGAGATGTGATAAAAAGTCACCTTCAGTTCAAGACCCGCTGTGACGCGCGGTTCCTCATAATAGATCAATTTTTGATTTAGTCAATTCACTGCTTATCAACGGCTAAAAAACGGAAGGGTGCAAAGATTATTTCGTTAAACTCTCGGAAATAGATAATCTCTTTCCAATAGAGGCATCTCCCAACACTACACAACAGATCGCATTATTAGCACCTCCGACGATTATCGTAACAATTATATAAAGAAAATATTATTATTAAAAGAATAAATTGGAACGGACTGACCAAATCGATCCATGAACCATGTCTCATTACAGTGATATCCATACACAACGGTGTTTGCCTATTCTTAGTATCGGTGATTCCGTCCGATGATGATGACAAGCGAACCAAAATCCCGGGTGGCCAATCAGTT